GGAAAGAAAATACGAGGATTGTAAAAACATTGGACTTTAAATCTTGAGACTTTTAAAACACAACATTTTCAGTGAACTGACTTCTCCCCATGGAGAAAAGACAAAATGGAACATGTGAAAAAGTAGCAGCCTAAGAATTCAGTTTCAAGTTATGTTGGCAGTTTTTATTTCACACAACTTAGCACTAATTGATGAAGTTTTATAAATATGAGTTAATATGTTTAAAAGTGTTCCCTTTGTTTAAGGCTGCTATGATTTTAAAAGAGATAGCCAAAAGACAAAGTTAACTCTGCAAATTTCTTTAAAAACCCTGGTTTCATCTGTTTGGTGTTTCCTGGTTGAACAAGCAACCAGTGACATTTTAATTGAATTCAACGTCACTCCTTCGAGTTCCTTGTAATAGATATTTTCCTTTTGTGAATGTTTATCTCATGATAGATAATCTGTGAGGGAATTTACTTCTACAATAGTGTGAAGGTTTCTTTCTTGACAATAACTTCCCCCACACTAATTTCCGGATTTGCTGTCTCTTTGTTCTGCGACAACACTCCCAGCTTCATCTCTCTGGTTCGATTTACTTCAATCATTTTACTCACCCTGTCAGCAGTCGGTGGACGGCTATCTCACATCCAGCCCTCACTTTTCACCACAGGGTTTCAATAAGGGAACAGTACTGTGGTTATCATTATAGACAACTTTATTTATTCTTTTAATTACAGACCACACTCACTTCCTACGATTACTCATGGTGAAATAAAGATTTTAAAGATCTGATCTTCCCAAGAAATTTGAAACAATATCTGTTATTATAAATTAGAAACTGAAACTCAATCAGATATTGTGCTAGCCCTTGACCTTTTTATAATTATGTACACTGTACTTTAGTTTAAGCACTCCATCATTTATCCCATTGTGAAAGCTATATTGAAGTCTTAATGGTTATTGTTTAAATAGGTGTGTCCTGCTTTCAACTGTAGTATGACAATGCTGCTTACAATTAGATTTTCCAATAAAGAAAATGCTGAATTGTAATTCAAATATCCATCTAAATAGAAGATCAACTAAAATCCAATGAAAGGTATGTCCTTGTCCTGTAAAGTGATACAATGCTGCATTGTTTTGGAGTGCCAGAATTAGATAATGGACAGCATAAAATAATTAAGAATTTTCAATAAAAAACAGCAGGAGGTGTTTCCTACTCGTCAAGTGTAGAAAAAGAATTGTGCATTGATTTGGAGTGAATGTGTCACATGACATGGAGACTATAGAAAAGGTTTCAACAAAAACTTCTTATATAACATATTCACATAACATGTATGTGAAGGACTGTCATTAGAGTATAAGAGTCAGATTATAAAAGTTTTAATTAAAAAAAACACTGCTGATTTGTACTATAGCAGTTTCATGTTATTTTATAAAAATATTGATGAAAATCAGTAAAAGCCCAAAAATCCTAAATATGTCTTATTCAATGTAGTAATACTATCTGGTATGGGGAGGGTCCTTGCATCCCCCTTTGTAGTTAATGATGTCTTTTGACCATCAATCTGGATCACAGAGTGCCCTCTGTTGGCCTTTAGGATGAAGTGCACTTACAATGAAGACGCTGAGTAGTAGGCCTACTTTATTCCTCATTCTACAACTTTATTATTTCCTTTATTAATAGACCACACTCAATTAATTTGGGTAAAAATTCAAAAAACCACAAGCTTTTTTTATCCTTGACCAAATACATGCAAAGTACTTTTCCCAAGAGATTTGAAACAAGGTTTGTCATTATAGTTAAAAAGAAAAGAACAATAAATCTCTATACTTTTGACAAAAAGAGACACACTTTAAAGAGATTGCAGTGTAATTACACTTGATAAACATGCACTTAGATATATAGATGTTAATAAAACAGACAGCAGCCTGAGCTGAACTTCCTTCACAAGGCAGACGGACACAAGAGAGTCCACAGAGCTCAGTTTGATATCACGGTGACTCCTGGTTGGATCACATATCCAGCTTGAGGAACCATCATCATTGGAGCAGGCTGCATTTGTATAATGGGTTGACTTTGCACGACGATGACATTAGGAGTTTTATTGCGATGTTTTAACTCACGATGCATCTGACACCAGGAGCACCACTGACACAAACAGGACACACACATGTCTTCACAGAGAGAACCCTGCAGAGAACCAAACAAAAATATGTTTATTAAGTTACATTTTTTTACTTTTATGAAATTTGTTTTGTGACATCTAGTATACATAGGCTTACAAGCATCCTACCTTGATATGGTATCTGTTTCGCATGGCAACCCTAACAGACAGGACTGCTGGAGGCACATAGACAGGAATTCCACTCATGCTCAGTATGTCACATAGTGGGAGTAAACGGTTTTCACCCAACCGTCCTGTAACAGTGCAGGCCAGAAAAGGGACACACCAGAAGCCGTAGCAACCTGAAAAAAACAGGGAGATACACCGACAGAGATGCTTGCTAAATTAGGGTTTGATATTGAAAAAAAAAAGTTTTAAGTCATGGTTTTATTTCTTACATGTAGCCTGGTCCTCAAAGCAGTCAAAGAGATCGCTGCTCCACTCTTTCTCAGGTGGTGGGGCTCCCATCGGATGTTGGATAAATTGAGCTACACAGTGAACAATTAACCTGTAAACACAAAAATCAGTGCAAAGCAAAATACACTTCTGATAAACAAAAAGCTCATTCTGTAAGTCTCATACCACTTATTCAGTTGGAGAACTCTGAAAACATAGTTTTTGCACTATATTTATCTTTCAACAGATAATTTAAATTAGATTTTTGATGCGCTTTGCATAACTTATTTGAATGAAAATGAACTGTGCTCAGCTTTGAAACATTAAGAGTAGAACAGCCACTGGGGCAAACAATCTATTTTCCGGTTATTAAGAGGACCTTTGAATAAAAATTGCCAAAATAAAGTGCAGTAAAAGATGACCCTCCTCACATTTATACTGCATACATTTTAGAGGTTAATAGAAAATAGAGGCAAACAACCAACAACTATCTTTAAATAAACAGAATAGAAAAGGCAATAAGTATTTTGTGTTTAACCAAAGATAATGGTGAATTATGTCCTTATAGTACAGTATAATTCAATTTCTAAATTGATGCTACATCTATGTCAGTATTACACAAATAAAAGAATGTTAATGATATCCTTTCAAAAATAAATACAACAACTTAAAATAAGATGAAGTCTCTTGGTACAACCACGATGACGGATAAATTGAAGATTTAGTATACTGTATTTCTTTTTTATAGTTAGTTTAACACAAATCAACTGGTGACATTCAGAATAACCCAGGATGCCTGTGGTTAATATACATTTCAAAAACTGCTCTTATACTGGTAAATTCCCTTTTACTGCCTGCATTAAACTTATAATCAACCATTACTAAATATATATTTTACCTGATGGAGCTGGAAACACTCTTGGCGACTCTGGAGCTGTCAAAAAATGAAAGGATGCGACTTTGTTTGGGTGTGGTATGTTTTGCATGTCGGACGGCAGAAGTTAGAAACAAAGCTGCAAACCTGAATCCATTGACCCGAATTACTGACAACAAAACCACTTGTGGAGAAAGGTTTGACCATCATGTTTTTTAAAAGTGATTTGTATTTATATATGGTTATCATTTATGGATAAAACGTTTCCAATGTATGTGTGTTTGAAAACAGGGTATTCTTTTCTATTGTAACATGTTTTCCTCCTCTGATAAGAGAAAAGGATAAATTAAAATTATATTTATAATGTTTCTTTTTTAATTTGAAACATTTGAGAATCTTTAACTTTGACTCATATGTGACTTTCAAATAGCAGATTTTGAGAGTAGATCAGGTTATTTAACTCTTGTTTCAAAAGAGGTCTGAAGAAGTCATTCAAGGCTTATTTACATGAAGCAATTTGCATTCCATTAGTGGTGGAAAAAGTACTCAGGTCCTTTACTGTGTGAAAATAAAAATTGAATTAATGTGGTCTTAAAACACTCCAATACAAGTAAACATCCTGAATTGAATAATATAATAATATATACGAAAGTATTAACAGTAAAATGTACTTTGTGTATCAAAAGAAAAGTTCTCATTATGCTATCTGTACAGTGTTGTAGAATAATATTATTCTGTTTTTATCAGTAGCAAATACATTTACATTTCAAATCATTTTAATGTTGTAGTTTGGCAATGTGGAGCCAATTTTGGATACTTTTTGAAATACTGTGAATATTCAAATCAAAGTATTGCATCACATCATGTGTTTTCCTATGTACAAAGTCAATAACTATAAGTATTTAATACATGCATTTGAGTAGAAAGTACAATACTTGCCTCCAAAATGTAGTGCAGTAAAAATATTATTAGCATTACATGGAAATACTCAAGTATAGTACAAGCATGCATGTCAAAATTGTCCTTAAGTATGATACCTGAGTAAATGTACTTTGTTACATTCCTCCACTGATTTCCATTGACAGTCTAAACAGAGAGTGAGTTCTAGGTGTGCACCAGACAACGCCTGTTAGATGTGTGTCCTGGCATTACCAGTTGTCTTCACACTATGTCAATTCTTGCTTTTGTCATGTTTTATTTTTCCTTTCTTCTGTAAATGTATTTTCATTTTATATATTAAGCGTTTTTACCTTATACTAATACGATTGTGGAGACTCATTGGACACAGTGATGAACTGTAAATCAGGGTGTTTCCATGGATGCAACTCTTGAGGAAAAAAGCATCCCCCAAGTGAGGTCAGTTCTGTCTGTGTGACCCAGTTTCTGACATTTGAGGCCAAAAAAAACAAAACTGTTGTCCTGCCATCCCCCAGTATCCACATGATCCTCGCCTTGAATATATTCAGACCTCTTGTCATAATAATTTATAAAAAAGTATTCATTGCTGTTATTTTTCTAAGACCAACACACAGACACCAACTTACTCCTCTCACAGGCAACACGAATGAATCAGAGGTTTTTAATAAGCAATTAAACAAAATCTGATTCTTTATTATTATGTTAAGAAACTCAGTCAACTCAGTATTAGATGTTAACTGGTAAATGGAAAAACTTCACTTCACAAAATCATGTAAGGATTGAAGAAACAAAGAATCAATTTTCTAGAAAATACTTTTTGTAACTTTTATGCAATAAATGCTGCATGTAGATTAAAAACAAATACTTCAAAATAAAAATAAAATCTACACATATTGAGACAAATCCACAGTGGTTTAAATATCCTTCAAAAAGCCATTGGGTAAACTTCCTTAGAACCCGAGAGAAAGGGAAAAGTGTTTTGGAAATGTTCAGGAAACAATCGAAGACCTCTTCTTTAATGTGAGTTCTCCCGATCCGTCATCTTGAGACATTTACAACACTTCCCTTAGTCTTTAAAAAGTAACTGATCATTTCTACCAATTTCCACATTGGCATGATTTTCATTATTGTGGCAATATGGGACTGAAATTGAACCCGCATGCGTTAATGCCAAAGAGACATGATTCAAAAAGTATTACAATACTGAAAAAAATAAAGCAAGGTAAAACAAGCACTGTCTCCCACACCTAGACACAAATAAAAATGTTTTACACTGAAGGACCTCAACACCACCGATAATCTGAGCTAAATCAAACGTTGTTCACAAGACAGAGCAGACCAATGAGAAGCTGCAAGGCTCAGTATCTAACTCCTGGTTGGACAATGAAACCAGGAGGAACACTCATGACTGGAGGAGGCTGCATGTTGACAATGACCACATTGTTTTTCTTGCGAAACTTTAACTCCCGATTCATCTGGCACCAGGAGCACCACTCACAGAAACAGGAACTCGCGATGTCGTTACAAAGGGAACCCTGTGGAGAACCAGAGTACTGATAAGGCCCTTTTTTTTTAAATAAATGTGTTCTTGTTATTTTTTAGTCTTACATTATCTACAATGAAAAAACTAAAATGTTGATTTTAATAAAAGGGATTATGTCAACAGATTTCACATAACTCTATTAGGTTAGTTGAAAGCAATAATATTACATTTTACAAATTATTTTATTTTATTTTAATCTAAAATGATTAGGTTCAACTTGATGTTATTGCTTTTAACTAACCTATTACAGTTATGTGAAATCTGTTGACATAATAGCCTACATTTAATTTAAGTCATCGTTTCAGTTGTTTCAGTGTAGTTGTTCCAATTATGTTTTAATATGTGAACAGAGAACATGACAAACATGTTTTCTTGAACCTCAATAATGTAGGCTATATCATTATTCATGCTTAATTCAAGTGTATAAATAATCATACAGGCTACATTTTCTGTCGATGTTTACCTTGATACCGTATCTGTGTCGAATGCCGACCCGTAGAGCCAGCGCTGCAGGAGGCACACACAGCGGCAGGCCGAAGGCGGCTGTGATAGCGGGGCTGAGCATGTCACATAATGGGAGACAACGGTTCTCTCCAAACCTCCCTGAAACTGTGCAGGCCAGACAAGGGCAGCACCAGAAACCATAGCAACCTGAAAAACAAGCAGTTTTAATAGATGTGTAATATCAAGTGTAACTGGTCTATTAGATTAAAGAATAAAACACAAATTAGTAAAACATTGAAGCCTTTTACAAATGAATCTGACAGTAATTTGAATGAATAGGATTGAAGGTTGTGGTGTTGATTCTTACAGGTGCTGCTGTCCTCACAACAGTCAAAGAGGCCCGTGTTCCAGTCTGTCAAAGGGTATGCCATTGGCTCTGTAACTTCACCACAGCTGGATAGAAATGAACCTGTCAACACACAGAAAGTTGGTTTAGCAAGAACATCTAGGTTAAATCATTTAAAAGTTACACATATGAGGAATGTAATATACATATTTAATCCTTAAAGAATCTGGATTTCATAGAAGATAAGAAACAGGACATTTCTCGAGAATTATTCTATATCTTTTGTGTGAAAAAGTCTTCAAAAAATAAGCAACAGGATGAGTCGTGGTGTAGGCTATTCACTTGTTAAGGTTAGGAGAATATTTATTTCAGTTTGGGCATAATGTTTTTTAGATGGCTAAGTGAAGCCGATGCACACAAATGTACAGAATGACTCACAGACGCGGACGGCTCTATTGTGATATAAATCACAATTTATTGAGGTCCTAAATATTATAATCATAGAAACACCGGTTTATATTAATTTCATATCAGCAACAACTTATTAGAGTATGATTATCATCAGATGCCACTGCGTATGGTTAGACTAATTCAGCCTTGATTTCTGTGTGTAGTCAGTAGAATGAACATCCTCCATAGTTCATCAAAAATATATAATAAATTGATCATCTAAAGCCAATGTAGATATTGAGAACATAGGAGGAAGTTGCAGTGACAGGGAAAGGTCTCTTCACATTGCTTCAGATAAGCTAGTGTACACAGCACTCCTCAGGGTGTGTGAGCTTGAGTCTTTGAGGCCTGGGCAGCACTGATGTGAGTGCTGCTGTTACCGAGTGAATGACCGCAGTTTGCCTTTTAAATAGCCATGGACCCAGGAGGAGCCACCATGATACAAACACAGATGATTTCCATGTATTTATAGAAATGTAATACAAGCAGATCCTTTTCTTTTTTTTTGTATTTCAGTTATTCTTTCATTACATTTAAGTAGCTGTGAATTTGATCTATATATGGCCCAGTAGTAACTTGTAGTATTCAGAAAAAAACGTTTCTGTTTTTGTGATAAGGTTACAATGATTTGCGAATATGATGCATGTGGCTATGTTAAAAATACAATTATAATAAACACTTTTTGTCCCTCCTTTACCTCCTCTTCACTGGATCATGTAAGCTGCCAAATTTGAGAATCAGCTTTCATTTTACTTTTAAAATAAGTTTAATTTCTTGACAGCAACATTTAAAAATCTCACCTGATTAAGCTGAAAGCCTTGTTGTCACGTCCAATTGCAGGGGGAATATGCCTTGTATGAGGAGCGGCACCTCATGCATTGGGCAAGTAAGCCCAAACAATGCTGCAGAACCTGCCTGAACCCAAAGGCAAGGGAAGGTCGAAACAGCATCAACAGCATTGTGCCGTTTTTATGTTAACACAGGTGTGGCAAACCAGTCAGACACTGTCATTGCAAAGGATTGTGAACGTTTTTAAGGACGGTGAAAATGAATGCACGGTTGTCATGGCTAATTGTTTCTTACCTTACCTCATACCTGTGTTTGACTCTGTTGGGATCCACTTCATGTGTTTCGTAGTGAAATTATAAGCTGAGGTTGCAACCTTTGTGTTTTAAGTAAAACCTATTTGACGATAAGATATGACCGCAGTTAAGTTGGTTACGTTTTCCAAAAGAACATTTGCATTATAATTGATTCATCCTAGTAGACAGAGGTTCCACATAACATAGCTTAACATGTGCTCTCCTATTATATCACTACATCACTTTTTTGTAGTTTCAAGCTTTAAATGAACATGACATCAGAAATCTGTTTTTACAGGTGTCATACGGTTTTTCTATATTTCTGTCTCACGATAATTGAGAGAGGATGCAGGAGGGGCAAACTGTAGTATCCCAGCAAAAAAGAAGTTTTCTTTAGTTTTTTAAATCAAGGAGATATGTTGTGCCTGGCATGAATGTAATGAACAAATGTAAATCAATAACATATTGCTTGCTACCATAAAAGCCAAGTTGTCTCTTACACAATAACATCTCCAGCCATGATTCTAATATAGTTGAGATTCATTTGTATGATTTATTACAGGGAATTTCCTTGCAGCTATCTTTTGTTACAATGAAATGTGAGTGGAGTAAATAAATAAAGTGCACAGGTAACTAAGCTCTCTCTATATTTGTTTTTGTGTTGACAGGAAGACATGCCATCATGAATACCTCATCAGGCTGGAAGCTGTTTCCACAGTTGTGGCTGAGATCTGGAACTGCAATGGCCAAACAACATCCACACTATCCACACTTCCAAACAGTCAGTGTCCCCTGGTGCCCTGTATTCATTTATTCCAGTGTTTAATGTAATGTTTTTGTCTGTAGATAAAGAACAGATAACATAACGAGTGCTTAAAAATGAGTCTTTTATTAATAGCCAGATACATCGTAGTGTTGTATACTACCCTCTTCTGGTAATCAGTGATAACACATTGAAATATAACACTGTTTTAGACATGATTTAAGTATTACTAAGCAGCAATAAAACGTCCAAATGATCATTTACATAGCCAAGATGGAAGGGCTAAAAGGGCATCCTGACCACAGTCATTTCATTATTAATACACCAAACTATTATTTCTTAAATTCGTCAATGCTCTCAAAAGGGGGCATCTAATTTAATATGAAAAAAACATGTTTCCACCTAGAAGTAACCCTGAAAAGCAAAATCCTTTTCAGTTTAACACTCCAACTGTATTAAGCTTGTAGGTCCAACCTTGCCAAAAGGCTCTTCTAAAAATCTTAATAATGGAAGAATCACAAAAAATATATATATACTGTTGCTGTATACTGTTCATTTTAATCTGTGAAATGCTGTAAAGAAGTTTTTGTTACTGCATGTCAGCTCATGTGCTTGTATGTCACAATTTAGCTTCATGTATAGGAGTAAGACCGAGCCACTGGTCTCTTCTTCACCAGTTGTTTAGGCACCACTGTTTCCAGCAGCCTCCTCACTAGGACCAGTCTGCCTGTCCTGATCAGAGAGCGGGATAGCTCTGTGACCTCCTCTGTGTGAGTCCTGTAGAGGCACCTGAGCTCGGATTTTACAACGTCCTTAGGGTACTTCCCCTCTGCCTTTTGCACCCACAGCTCCAGTTGGGCGATGGCGAGGCTTGGGTCAGGGCCTCCCAGCATGAACAGAGTCAGGAGAGCCTGCAGGAGGCAGCGCAGGGCCGTGGTGTCCGTGCTGCCCGGCCTCTCCAGCTCCACAGCCAGTTTGAAGCAGTCTGCAGCGTTCTGCTCCTCGCCCTTCAGCAGGAGGCAGCGTCCTCTGAGCACGTGCAGGTCCGGCAGGCTGTCCCCCAGCTCAAACTGAAGGGCATGGGACAGACTCACCAACGCACTGTTCACTGCGCCCTCATCTACCAAAAGGCTCTCCTGAAGGGCATCTACACCCATGTAGTAGTACACCTAAAAAGAAAAGACATGAATTATGTTTGTATTTAATCTATATTTAGAAATCTATCTTTATTGCTCATTATTAGTTTGTGTCTTTACCTGTGCCATCTCCAGGTGAGTCCGCAGACACGGACGTACAGTCAGGACCTTGTCCAAATCTTTTCTGGCCTCAACTAGTTTCTGTCGGTCTGGAATTCCACCTTGAGCATATTTTGCCTTCTCCAGGTCCCTGACATAAAGCATCACATTGATCTAAAGAAAAAAAAAAAACTTTTAATAAATAAGGGAATATAAATACTAAGGCTGCACAATATACATTTGTTAAACTGTCATCGTGATGTCAGCTTGAGCAATGAAAACTTCTCGAAAGACTGATATCGCTTGTGTTTTTGTGATGATTTCTTGAGGGATTTGAATGTACGGCAAGTTGGTCGAAATCAACTACGATTTTCTACGTGCATAATCAGTAATTGTATATGCATGATTCTTTGAGGATAAAACTGTTTTATAGATTAAAACAACTGAACTTTCAGTCGACGAAGAAGTTCAGGACAATCGTAACAGAGTATCAGTAGAAAACCGCACTTCAAACTGTAATAACAATAATCTTTTTGTACTTTTTTTGTTCAGTTCAATGCTCAATTTGTTCGCAAAATGAATTATTTTGAAATAACATCTTGAATTTAACTAACAATTTGTTGTATTTTAGTTGTATTCTGAAACGAGCGCAACTGAGTACATTTAATTTAGTTATATTGTATTTATTATTCAACAATGGCATTGCCAATTGCCAATGTGTTTCTCATCTGAACAGCCCTATTGAATACATACTGTACCATGCACAAATGACAACACCAGTGATTAACATCAGGAATTGGGATTTATGTGCATCTTTCAGACAAATTAATGCAAATTGTCTTGCATTAAAAGGGATTTCACGTTGTAGGTGTTGCCAGCTTGGTTTCAGGATGCGTTGCCGGGCGGCAGTACCTTAGCGCGGGTGCAGTAGGCCTGCCAGTTGAGCTCTGGGTCTGGGAGCACGTTCAGGGCCATGTTGCAGATCCCTGTGGCCATCTCATGTTTGCCCAGCAGAAAGAAGACCTTTGCCAGAAGGTTCAGGGTGAATGCATCCTCACTGGCCAAGTTTATGGCCTAAAGGACAAAGACAAGTATGTTACGATGAATATATACAAATATTATCACTTGACATCATTATTGAATCAGGTTTTGTCAATTCAATTTCAACTCAAATAGCTTTATTAGCATGACCATAATGTACATACAGTATTGCCAAAGCTCTGTACAATTGCAAAATCCATACACAAATATACATTTGAAACAAACTGCTAAACTGCTTTTTCTATTACTGGAAGAAACTGTATAATGTATAATATATTGACTGATAATGTCAGGTTGATTTTAGTCAAATGATTATCATACTGTATAGGAGTCCCTTATATTCTCCAAGCTTGCCTGATATTTGGTGAAATATCTCAATGTGTGAGTTAACTTACAGTTCCATAGCAGGATAGAGGATCAGAGGCAGAGTAGCCACAGTCATGTATGGACATGGGAACAGTGGTGAACTCTTCCTTCCTCTCCAACATGATGCCAACATAACACCAGGCAAGAGCTGAGGGGAGATACCAAAATCTGAGTGTATACCAGTTTCTGACAAAAGCAACCATGTGTTGTTTGTCTCCCTCTAGATTAAAGAAATTGCTACTACTGTATGTTACAACATCTTAAATACAGTCTTTGTTATTACTAAAACACTACAATAGTTGAGGTTCCATTGTATGGATTTCAATGTAAGGTTTGAACTAAAGTAGGCCCATATATTTGCAGCATGTAAATACGTCAGCACAGCTTCACTTCACGTTCAACTTTACGCCTCTAAATGTACAAAAGAGCTCACAGATAAACCTGATGTGTTTACCTTTGTGTTGCGATTTGTCTGAATCTAATGTTTCTTTGAGAAGCTTCAGACCCTTATTGTAGTGAGAGAGTCTGGAGTATTCAGAGTCCTCCTTGGTCTTTACTATGTCGTCAAGTCTGCGGGGAGAAAGTTACTTAATAAAAATGACACATGATGTGATGTGGTGGTTCATCATATGTTTTCGTTTTGTACCTTATGTAGATAGTGGCCATTTTAAAATACCAGCTTCTTTTTTCCTCTACTGATATCTGAAAAACAACAATACATACAAGTATTTAGTACGTTATACAATTATATTTATTTTACAGGAATACATATTTGCATTGGTTTTATTGCTATTCCACCTTAAAGGTAGGGTAGGTAATTCACTTCAGAAACACTTTTTGTTATATTCCATGGAATGCTCTTAACATCCAGATAGCAATGAATACATTAAATGCTTTGACAATAAATACATAAAAAAATGTCATCTGTGGAAACCGTGGTACTGTAAAAAGCTAGACCAATCATCTGAGCTGGCCCGGCTAAAATAACTGGATGGCCTACCTGCCTGTCAGCCTTCCATCTCGTGCACAAACTTATCTCGTAACCTCATTGGTCATGTGTGCATTCGTGTGTGTTGGAGGAGGGGCTCTGTAAGGAAGTCTGAAGGAAGGGGCAGATTTTTTCCGGTTGTGTACTTTCAAATTCTCGATTTGGTTTCTCCATTCTTACCTACCCTACCTTTAATAAAGAGCATTTTGCTTTGATCGTGAAAAGTAGTAAGCTGTGGACAAGGGTTCTGAAGACTAACAAATGTGAATGTTATTTGTATATCAGTTGTTGTGAACCAAGTTACATATTTATAAATCTTCTGAGCATAGCCCAATCCTTAAACTTCAGTAAAAGACGGCGGATCAATTGAATCATAGACGAGAAGTATATTTAATGATATTAAAGGATTATCAACATAAATACCAACCAA